ATGAGGATGAGGAGGAGGAGGAGGAGGAGGAGGAGGAGGAGGAGGAGGAGGAGGAGGAGGACAAGGAGAGCTGAGGGATGCAGAGGAGGAGGAGGAGGAGGACCCGCAGAGAGGTGAGGTGCATCACCTGCTCCGCGCGCACGCGTGGCGGCGCCTGCCCTGCGCCGCGCGCGAGAGCCCCGGCCTGCGGCCCCGGCGCCCTCGCCCTCTGCCCCGACGAGGCCCTCGGTGTTTGTTCCCCGCGGTGAGCTCTGCCTAGTCCAGGAGGGACGCAAAAGCACACGCAGAGACACAATCCATCGACGATTCCCAGGAGAATACGGGGAAACATATGGGACGTGGGGGGGGGGGAAATGAAACGAAAACCCAGAACATATAGGAAAACATGTGGGGAATCCTGGGATGTGTGTGTGTGTGTGTGTGTGTGTGTGTGTACTGATTCTCTCGCACAGGGTGTCCAGAGCTCCGACCACTTTATTCCGCGTGGCCCCCCCCCCCCCCCGCGTCCCCAGCGCCAGAGTGGGACCCCCGCGCAGTGGCTCTCTACCCCGAGCCCCCCCGCGTCCCCAGCGCCACAGCGGGAGCCCCGCCCACTGCCCCCTCCGCCACGAACGCTTTATTCCGCGTCGCACCCCCCCCCACCCCCCCGCGTCCCCAGCGCCAGAGTGGGACCCCCGCGCCGTGGCTCTCTGCCCCGAGCCCCCCCGCGTCCCCAGCGCCCCAGCGGGAGCCCCGCCCACTGCCCCCTCCGCCACGAACGCTTTATTCCGCGTCGCGACGCACACCACCTCCCCCACCTCCCTCCCCGCGTCCCCAGCGCCCCAGTGGGGGCTCAGCCCCGTGCCCCCTCCGCCCCGACAATTTTATTCCGCGTCGCGACGCACACCACCTCCCCCCCCGTCCCCAGCGCCCCAGTTGGACCCCCGCCCCGTGGCCCTCTGCCCCAAGCCCCGCCCAGTGCCCCCTCCGCCCCGACCATTTTATTCCGCGTCGCGACGCACACCACCCCCCCCTCCTCTCCGCGCCCCCAGCGCCCCAGTGGGACCTCCGCCCCGTGCCCCCTCCGCTCCGAGCACTTTATTCCGCGTCGCGACGCACACCACCTCCCCCCCCTCCCCACCTGGGATTTGGGCCCCGTTGCTGGGCCCCGAGGGGCGATGTCTTGCCCCCTCTTCCCCCCTCCTCCTCCACTTCCTCCTCCTCTCCCTTCCTTTTTGTGCAAGAGCCATTGCACACGTGCCACTTGTTTCTCTGTGTCCTTGGGCCCCTTTAGGTGAGAGAGGTGTCCAGTCACGGACACGCCTCCTGCCCACATCCCGCCGCGGACGCCGAGGGGGCGCCTTGCGGCCGCCGCAAATGCCCCGGGTGGTGCGCGGCTCTCCCGCCTGCCATTAAGTCGGGCCTGTCCCTCTACAGGAGGAATATTCAAAAATAGTTGAAATTACCCCAGTGCGACCCTACCGAGAAGTTGGAGCCCCTAGGAAAACAGCATTAGTTGCTATGCTATGCTATGATATGCTATGCCATGCTATGCTGCGCTATGCTATGCTATGCTATGCTATGCTATGCTATGCTATGCTATGCTAAGCTATACTATATCATACTGCGCTGTGCTATGCTACGCTATGCTATGCTATGCTATGCTATGCTAAGCTGCGCTATGCTATGCTATGCTATGCTATGCTAAGCTATACTATGTCATACTGCGCTGTGCTATGCTACGCTATGCTATGCTATGCTATGCTATGCTATGCTAAGCTGCGCCATGCTATGCTGTGCTGTGCTGTGCTGTGCTGTGCTGTGCTGCGCTATGCTATGCTATGCTATGCTATGCTATGCTGCGCTATGCTATGCAATGCTGGGCTATGCTATGATATGCTGTGCTGCGCTATGGTATGCTACGCTATGCTGTGCTCTGCTATACTCAAACTCTGCTAAGCTAAGATTAACATGAGCTAAGATGAAGCTAAGCTAAGCTAAGATGAAATAAGCTAAGCTAAGATGAGATAAGCAACGCTAAGCTAAGGGGACGTAACTGGGGGAACCGCGGGGCGGATACTGGGGGAACCGCCCGGGGCGCTTTCCACTGCCCGGCCCCTTTAAGCCCAGAGAGTAAGAACCCTTCTAGGCAGAGCCTAGGTAGGGAACAAATAGTCTGGGGACGATTCTTCGACTATTTTTTTTACCATTCGAGTTTTTGTTTGACTTTTTTTGATCTCGTCAAAAAATCCGCCTCTAGGGGGGACACGCCCGACCCAAGCCTTAAGCCCACCACCACGGCGCCGTCCTCTCCTGCCCTCTGGGGGGTGAGCCGCTGTCCGGCCCTTCCTCCCCGGCGAGGCGGCGGGAGGCGGCCCGCATGGGGCTCTCCCCGCCTGCAGCGGAGACCCACGCCCAAGGAGACGCCCTGCCGGCCCCCGGGGTGCCCTGGGCTTCTTCCTGGGCTTCGAGGGTCCTGCGATGGAGAGCGCGGCGCTCCCACACCAGCAAAAGTCCATGGACGCCCTGGGGTCTCAGGGTTGGGCTTCTTGCGCACGGCTTCTCTTGTGGACTGGCCTCCCCTGTGGTCGCACTGTGCTGGGCAGCGGCTTCTCGTCCGCCGGGCCGCCCGCCGCCTGGCCTCTCTCCGATCCTCCGTCCGTCCGTCCTTGTGCGGGCTCGCGCTGCATCACGCCACGCGCCCGCGTGGCCTCATCGTCCTCCGCCACGTTTTCGGGCTCACTGCCACGGCCCGCGTGCTGTCGCTGCCCGTGTGCGCCAACTCAGCGGTGGCTGGCCGCCTTCTCAGTCGACTTCCCGCGCTTCGGGCCCTGCCCATCCACCGTGTCGTCTTCGTGTCTCAATCTCGTGCCCTTGGCACAGGGGTCGCATGTCTTCCGGCTTGTTCGGCATGCAGTTCCTCGCGTTGATCCCGCTTTTCTTCGGGATTTCTGCTGACAGGCGCCCTCGTCTTCAGGCTTCCTGCAGCAAAGTGTCGGTGTCTGCTTGCAGCGGGCCTTCCTCGGCCGTCGCTGCCCGTGTGCATCAACTTTGTGCTGGCTGCTTTCTAAGATACCATCCTGCCCCGGGCCCTGGTCATGAGTCAATCACCGTGTCGACTTCGTGTCTCAACCTTGTGCCCCGGCCACGGGGCTCGGACCCTGCGACGCGACCTCCAAGGCCGTTCCGCCAGGGTTGCACACACTGCCAACTGGTCTTCCGTCACCTTTCGGCCTCACTTTTCAGTCACGGCCCTCGTGCTGGTCTGCGGCTTGCTCGGCATGCAGCTCATCGCGTCCACCCCATTCGGAGTGTCGGTCCCTGCCTCCAGCAGGGCTTCCGTGGCCACCGTTGCCCGTGTGTGTGTCGAGTCAAGTCAGCGGTGGCCCGCCGCCCCCTCGACCACCATCCTGCTCTTTGGGCCATGTTCGCCCACCGTGCCGTCTTCGCGTCTCCGTCTCGTGCCCCATGCACGTTCTACGAGGCCGCTCCGCCCGAGAACTCCTCCACTCCGACGAGGCTGGGTCCACGGCCTCTCCCGCCCCTCTTCGGGCTCTGAGCAGTGCCCGGGGCACCGCCTCTTCCTCTCTCCTTCCTCCTTCCTGCTTTCCCCCCTGGGGGGCGGACCCCTGCCCCCTTCGGGTGTCGGCCCCATGGGCGAGGGGACCCCTTGTGGTTGTTTCACGAATATCGCCTGAGTGTGTGTGTGTGTGTTTGTGTGTGTGTGTATTCTCCGTTTATGCTATTCATCGCAAGCGCTAGTCGCCGACGCGAAAAGTGTGTGTGTGTGTGTGTGTGTGTGTGTGTGTGTGTGTGTGTGTGTGTGTGTGTGTGTGTGTGTGTGTGTGTGTGTGTGTGTGTGTGTGTGTGTGTGTGTGTGTGTGTGTGTGTGTGTGTGTGTGTGTGTGTGTGTGACCGCTTTGAGTTGTATGCTCTCCTCGGTGTCTGGCCGCTGCATGTGATTTGGACTTACGTTCCCCTCACCCACCCATCCATGCATGTTGCAGTTTGCGACTCTTAGTGCGCTGCGCCATCGACAATACTCGGTCGCAATTCGCACTCTCTCTGCGCCGCTGACTCACAAACAAAGTGTGTGTGCGCGCGTGTGTGACCGCGCGCGTCTCGCTCTCGCTCGGCCTGCACTACGCCGCGCCGCTGTGCGCGTGGCCGCCACACCAACGGTGTGTGTGTGTGTGTGTGTGTGTGTGTGTGTGTGTGTGTGTGTGTGGGTGTGCGTGCGTGCGTGCGTGCGTGCGTGCGTGCGCGTGTGTGTATGTATGTATGTGTGTGTGTGTGTGTTTGTGCGCGCGTGCGTGTGTTTGTGTGTATGTGTGTGTGTGTGTGTGTGTTTGTGTGTAGGTGCGTGTCGCCAGCAATTGCTTTCAGCTTTGCCCACCAATCGGCTGGTCTGGCAGCTGTGCAGTCCTTTCCCGCCTCACTGGCTAATTGGCACCAGTCTGCTGTTCGCGCTTCAACTCCTGGCGTCCGGCCACGCCGCGCGGGATTATTCGCCGCTGCATAATTAGTACCAGACTGCTGCTTGCGCTTCAACTCCTGGCGTCGAGCTACGCTCCGCGGGATGCTTGGCCGCTGCATTGGCCAATCTGCATTGCCGTGGCTGGACTCTCTCATCACGGTGCGTTCGACTACGTTGGTTCGCGATTGGCACCTCCATCCGCCGACCGCGCCTGAGGCTCCTTTGTGCCGCCGGCTGACAAGTGTGTGTGTGTGTGTGCGTGCGTGCGTGTGTGTGTGTGTGCATGTGTGTGTGTGTGTGTGCGTGTGCGTGTGTCCCGGTTTCTCATTCTCATTCTTTCTCTCTGTCTCATTTTCTCTCCCCTTCTCCCTCTCTCACCCTTCTCTCTCTCTTTTCTCTCACTCGCTTTCTCCCTCTCCCTCTCTCGCTCCCTCTGTCCTTCCCTGTCTCCCTTCCTCTGTCCCCCCCCCTCCTCCTTCCCGTCCTTTCCCTCGTCGCCACCCCCTTCCGCCCCAGCACCCCGCGGCGTGCGCCGTGGCGCCAGGCACTAGCCTGTGTGTATGCTGCGGCGCTTCATGTCTCTCGGCGGCCGGGCCAAGGGAGGGGGGTTTGTGGGGTCTGCCGAGCGTGTCTGCCAGGGACACCGCTCGGGGGATAGGCTCAGGGGTCGGAGGAAGAAAATGTGCCCCGCTACCATTCGCCTGTTTTTCGCTTTTTTGGGTCTCCTGGGGTAGATTGGCTACGATCCTGGTCATAACGCGCCCCAGGAATGGTCCAGGGAGTTGCGGTATCGGTGTTGCATAATCGGCTCTAAGTCGTACCCGTATGAATTCCCGAGCAAAACTGTATGATACGATGCTGTTGTGTTTTCCATCGCGGGAGTGTTTTTTGGTGCTCCGGTGCCATTTTGCCAGGCCCTCGCGGCCCACCGCGGCAAGCTTCGTGCTTCGTGCTTCGTGCAATGGGGGGGGGGGAACGCTTGCGAGGTTCTCGGACGTTTTCGTCTCTTCTGGGCGGCTTTCCAGCGTCGGGCCGCTTTCCTGCAGGTGCGCCTCGCCGAGAGCGTTCTGGGGGGACCCGAATCGCCCCGAACGGCCGCCGGAGAGCCGAGTTGTGGCCCAAGAGCCAGGTGGCAACGCTCGGGGGAGAAGCTCAGGCGGCGATGCATCGTCCCCCAATCGTCGACTCGCCACCGATAGAGCCTGAGTGCCCACCCTGCCCAGGACCATGCGGACTCACCGTCGGGGGCCTATCGCTGATCTATTCGCGGTGCATCGCAGAGTAAAGCTCGACGTTCGCCCCCCTTGAGCTGCCCCCCCGACGTTGCCCCTCAGCCTGTGCGTATATGCGTGTGCGTACGTGTAGCTGGCGCCACCCAAGACCGATGAATGAGGATGTGGAGGAGGAAGAGGGGAGGATCAACGGGTGGAGGCTGATGATGCTGATGACGGTGGTGATGATAATGATGCTGACTCTGATGATACTGATAAAACTGAAGATGATGATGACGATCACGATGATGCTGCTGCTGATGATGATGCTGATGATGACGATGATGATGCTGCTGATGATGATGATGATGCTGATGCTGATGATGATGCTCATGATGATGCTGCTGCTGATGATGGTGATGATGTGCTTATAATGATGAAGGAGGATATGAATGTGATGATGAGGCTGATGATGCTGATTATGCTGATTCTGGTGCTGATGATGATGATTCTGATGATGCTGACGATGCTGATGATGATGCTGATGACGATGATGATGCTGCTGATGATGCTGATGCTGATGATGCCGCTGATGATGATGCTGATGCTGATGATGCTGCTGATGATGAAAATGATGATGATGATGATGATGATGATGATG